AAGTTAGGATCAAGATGCAACTCAACAGACAGACAGCATAATGAACAATTGAAATTCTGTTTCATTATGACACAGTGTAAAGTCTGTCAAGTTTAGTTTATTTGGGGTTTTAGTTGTTTTGCTTTCACATTATATAAGCTATATTATGTAAACCTGATGATCTGACATGCTCCCAGCAGATATTCGTAGTACTATATACAGCAGCTGTGTTATATGAAATGCAACTAACTCTGTAATTATATAAGTTGTGTTTTGTATAATACGCCAGTCACTTACCCCAAGCCCACAATGCAACGGCATTCCACTGTAAATAAATAAAATTGCAAATTAGACATCGTCACTAGTACTAGTTCATTTTCTTGTGGGGCAACATGTAAGGAGTTCTTTGCCTGTATAGTTGACTGTGCTACATTATGGGAATAGAACAAACTATACAACAAAGATTTACTAGGCACCATCCCAAAATAATCAACAACCATTGCAGACCTGATACAACTTTGTCATAGAAACATGAAAGCAACCCTGTTAGACATTGATAACTTCATCACTTAAACACACACACCACCCTTCCTGTAACATACAGCCAGGGAGAATTCCTCAACCTACCCACTGATAGTGATATGCAGTAGGGTACAGACAACTCGAAATGATAATCACTGATAAAAAAATTTTAATACAGTTTAATTTTGCATGTCGTCAATAAAATACCACTTTTTCTTATGAACAATTTGCGCATTCATGGAGGTGGGCCAAACGCTATGCGCATTGGGAATGCGTACGTCACAGGTCAACAGAAATGGCGGTGAATATAATCGCCGCTCGCCACTTCGAATTTTTGTAACAGGTTATATGAGTTTAATACAGAGTATATTGTGATACATAGTAAGTTCCATGATAGCGGAGAAAGGTTCGTGTTTAGAATAAACCCAGTTTGGAAGTTCTAGTCTCTGAAAACGCACCAGCAAACTGCCCCGAGTGATTCACTCAGGGGTTCCTCCACAGAAAACCATAGGGACGCGTTGTCACCCTATCCTGGGTTCGGGTTATATTATTGTATCTACACTTGGTCCACAAAAAATGACTCAGCAAACCAAAATGATCAGGCTTTTTAACACTTATTTATCTACATGGACATCTCACCTATCATTTTGAACACTTTCCACAACTTTACACCATGTATTTAATAGCTTTATTCCTCACAAGTCAGCACTACTGGCTGTACCATTTGAAATATTATGGCGTGCTAACGCGTGACGTCACCGGATATGTAGGCAAAACACATGGCAGCTATGGTGCATGTATATACAACACCGGTGACAGCACGCGTTCGCACGCCACAATATTTCAAATGGTACAGCCAGTAGTGCTGACTTGTGAGGAATAAAACTATTAAAGGCATAAATACATGGTGTAAAGTTGTGGAAAGTGTTCAAAAAGATAGGTGAGATGTCCATGTAGATAAATAAGTGTTAAATAGCCCGATCATTTTGCGTTTTCTGAGCCATTTTTCGTGAAACCAATCAGGACCAAGTGCAGTTGCGAAATCTAGTTGAAAATGTTCTATAGCCCTGCGGCAGTTAATGAACGCGGGCTATAGTAGGCCTACTAGTACTAGAGCTAGACGGTGACCTAGCAATGGTGGCAAAGTACAGTAGGCCTACTGTAGTACAGACTCAGAGTCAGTATGCTGAACACGCGAATATAATTCGCCTGTTAACAGTACATAATATATGTGCCAGATCCATCCGTAATATTACAACCTTTTTCACTTCAAATCGTTTTCTTGGGTCGCCCTTTGATGGAGCGCTTGTCGAGGGAACTTCTTCATCTACTTCCATTGCCGATGCCATCTTCGATTTCCACAACTGAGACAATCCTGCCGACACGCCACTTGTTTTTGACAGTTCATAAAATACGCACCAGAGGGTACCACTTAGCACATGCCCAAAAACATTAAATTTTGTACTTCTCTACATAATAATTTTAAACATGTTTAAAAAGTAAGTGTTCGACCAGTGACAATAATTGGAAAGTCTGCTAGTTGATATGCAGAAACGTATTATTAGTACTATGTTTGCTGTTCTCGGGGCTTTTTTAAGCACCGTATGTGTGTATGTTTGTGATCGGAATATTTATTCACTGAGTGATGATGAGTGATGTCAGTGTCAGTGATGTCATTGTCAGAGCAATCGTTCACATCTTGCATACGATAGTCGATAGCCGGATAGGCACTTGGACCGGTTCGATAAATAAAAATAAATGATGGTAACGTAACCATGCAAATCAATCATGCCATGTTACACAAAAACAGACTTACAGAAAAAAAACAGAATCTGAGAATGCAATTTGTGTTTATTTGCCATAATTTCGTTATAGAATTACAAACGGGCCTAGTGTCTGAGACTGTGATGAGCAATTACTTCAATGAGTAATGACGTGTTCTGAATCTGATTGCCTGACAGTGACACTCGCTCACTACCTTGGTCATCGAGTCGGATACTCCTCTTGCACTGTGTATGTTCGATAGGAATGTAACCCTGGTAAACATGGCCATGACACTAATCTATGGTTCTCTAATAATTAACCAGCTTCATTAGCTACCAACTGACTTGTGTAAAATTGTGGATTTGTTCTTGCAGTTAAGCCCCTGACACACTAGGCGATTTTCACTGGCGACTCAGTCGGGCAACTCGATCGCTGGTGAAAATCGCCTAGTGTGTCCAATCAGATTTTCAAGTCGGGCAACTGAGTCGCCCGAATCAAACATGTTTGATAAAATTGGGCGATTATTTCAGTCGCGCGACTACAATCGGCTAGTGTGACCGGGGCGGCGAATGAGTTGCCCGAATGTAGAATTCATCAGCCAATCAAACGGTGCCATTTTCAATCATGTGACTATCAATCTACGTGGTGCGAGTGTTACTGTTTTAGTGTTGCAGCGGGAGAAAAATCCCCGATGTATCATGCTGATATTCGCCTAGTGTGTCCACTCGGTCGCCCGACTCAGTCGCCCCACTCATTCGCCGGCGACTCAGTCGGGCGTTTCAATCGCTTGAAAAATCTCCTAGTGTTATCGGTTCATGGATATAAGCGCTGACCACAATGCATTTTCGCAAATGTGTGACATATGCAAATGTGCAAATGTGGACAACTCTTATATCCTTGGGTCGTGTTCTCTGTCTCCTCTCTTGAGTAGGTAAAGTAAACGTGTGAAACTTCTGTCGAAATGTTATTTTAACATGTGCGATATTAAAGGGATTCCTTTAAGTTTAGCCTCTAGCTTAGCATAAGTTTAGGGATAAGTCAGGGTTTCTTATACATAAGAAGAACAGTGGCGCACCGTCATTGTCAAATTTAACTTAGCCGTTGTGAAATTGTTCCTGTGTTTACCTGCCGTTGTCAAAATAGTGTCAACCCAAAAATAAATAGATCACCACGTGCTTCTGGCATATTTAGATTGCCTTTACGGTTGCCTTTAGTGCCCTTATGGCACGCCTTTGAATCCATCATTTGCCTTTTTTCCCAAACTGGCCATTACCTCCTCTGTCTAATTGTCCCCCAGAAGAAACCCTGTACCCGTGTGTGATATAATCTTTGTTGTACTAATTGAGTTGTGTCTCTATTTGTAGGTTCGATGATAGGGAGAGTGTGTCAGGAAATATACAGATGAAAAGTTCTGTACAGAAGGCAATTAAAGCAAAGTTATTAGATCAGTACCCTTACATCGAAGCTTACATATCTTCTATTATGCCTAAGAAGGAAACACTTAAAATAGTCAAATGGTAATTAGAATACTGATTATGATATTGTATATAGCAAGCAAAGTACTGTAGCTATTACCATTTTGTCTATGTATATTGAATGAGTGCATCATTAATGCATATGCATTTAAATTAGAATGTACAGCATTTTAGGTGTGAGCTATGATGGAAATCTTTAGAAAGCAATGAAGCGTTAAAGGTTAGCGGTTTCGCAGATGTAAGGTAAGACACATTTAACGTTATAAAGTTTAGTTCTCCGATAATAGGTGCATTAAAACTGTTGCTCTCTTGCAGTCATGATCACATAGAGCTACTTGCAAATCAAAGTGGAGAACTACTCTTCTTTAGACACAGAGAAGGGCGGTATATGCCGACGTTAAGATTAATCCACAAGTGTAAGTTTAGAGGATTTTATTCATAATCAGAGATCATGAACATTATTAAAATTAAGTTCCCATAGCGTCAAGAGCATACAACGGTGAAATGCTGAAACCATGTTGCAGTATTAGTCGAATTAAGAAACTGCCCGTTTTATTTTGTCGTTTCTTTGCGTTATTATTGATCAGCTGTCCTACCTTGTTAATATAAAACACGCTTGTCCCTATATGATGCCCCTACGCTGAGATAATGAGCTGTGCAAATCTGGTATTTTTGCCGAAAACCGACTCGAGATCCTCATTGGCTGCGACCCTATCTCGCTTTGCGATAGCTTCAGGAAACCTCGCGTGTTTCCGTCAATTAATTGACAAATGGGATGAATGAAAACTTGTTTGTAGCGCAAGGAACTTTGGGTAGACCATGTACCATACATCTCCATTTTCTGTTTTCTTTGTTTACATCTGCGACTACAATTTACAACTTTCCTGTATAACGTGTGAAGGCAGTGCAATGGCAGAACATTCAGTTCCACGAGCTATGCCGAAACTTGGACTACCTCGCCAGAATGCTGGACCTAGACAGTTTTGTTGATTTTAGATTCCTTTTCCTTCTACTATCCTTTCTCGCATTCCCAGTCATGGACGCGGCCATTACTCCACGATGACGTCTGTTATTGATTGCCATAATGATGACCCCCACCTCACGCTGGATGTAGTAAACTCTGTAGTAATGACGTAATGAATCGGCGCTACCATGGCGCTACACAGTGGCGACCGGAAGCAACATATTGGCCACAGAACGAGAGAGGGCCGCAGCCAATGGGGATCTCGAGTCTGTTTTCGGCAAAAATACCAGATTTTCACCACTCATTATTTCAGCTTAGGGGCATCGTAGGGACAAGCGGTTTGTTTTATATTAGCAAGGTAGGACAGCTGATCAATAATACCGCAAAGAATTGTCAAAATAAAACGGGCAAAGTTTCTTTCGACTAATACTGCAACATGGTTTCAGCATTTCACCGTTGTACGCTCTCCTTCTTAATACACTCTTGATAGCATGTAGTTCATATTGTATTTTGTGTTAACCAATTTAAAAGTTGATAGAGATATATCCCCCATTGCCTACTTACCTAACCTCCAGAACATGTGAAACGAGGTGGTTTTGCCATCTTATTTCTCTGCAGAGATTCTCTTCACTAAGCTGTATAAGTAATATATACAGGTTGCTGGTGCTCACGTGTGATATCTGTATTAACTGTTGGAATAACCCTGGGTCGATGGCTTTCTCCAGATCCATTCTTGCTACCTCCACTCCAAGTAGACAAGGGTGCGATCCGGTTTATTCTCAGTGGAGCTAACATTATGTGTCCTGGACTCACGTCACCCGGTGCAAAACTTACTTCTGTTCCCAAGGACACACCTGTGGTAAGTTGACGAGACACGTGCAAACTGAGACAAGAATCTTGCTTCCTCATTAGAGTCGCTGTAATTGTGATCCCTGAAATTTCGTGGAGTAGAGAAATATTCTGACCCTACTCTGCTCCATGAAAATCATGTCTGATTGTGGTTGGCCACCGTACTCAGAAATAATTATTTTACCGCGGGAGAAATAATTCAACTGCAGTTAAATCATGATTCTTTTTAGCTAATCAGAGGCCTTGTTCCATGTAATTTAACCGCAATAAATGTAATTTAACCATGGTTAAATTATGTGTATCGAGGCCTCTGATTGGGTGTGTTATAATTTAACCACGGTTAAATTATTTCTACCGCTGTAGAAATAATTATTTCTGAGTACGATGGCCAACCATAGTCTGATAACACTTCAGTAATTGTGATTCGAAAAGACTCAGCTCATAAATCTCATACAAGTGGTTGTCATAGTGAGACTGTATGTGTAACAGGCTAACCTATTGAAATAGTCCACCCACATTAGCCAATGTAACGTTATCTTGGGTTAAAAGTGATCGTTTTTAAAACACCATAGAGAAGATTAAATTTAAGTTGCTAGCATTTATCAGCAGCAATGAGTAATTTCTTCTCACCTACGTGTGACATACTACTCATGCAGGTGTTAATTCTAGTCGCGAGTTCGGAGCGTGACTGTACAACACACGTAAACTCCTGTACCCACTTTCTTCTCATTTCAGGCTATCATGGCAGAAGGGAAGCAACATGCAGTCTGTATAGGATTAACGAAGATGTCTACCGATGAAATGTAAGTTCGTTACTGATAATCGGTCAAACCTTAAACCAATGAATCCTAATCTATGTAACCTATAAATCAGAGGCATTTTATTCACATCATTTGTATAAATACCACGTTATATACACAAGAAGACATGATTGATATTCATTATATTATATAATCATTGATCACACTCCACACTTCGACAGTCGGTTACTAGGCAACGTTTTTACGATTCTAGGCAATCTGTGAATAAGGGAATTGGTGTAGATAATCTTCACTACCTCAACGATGGATTGTGGTACATGAAAGCGATCAAGTAGGCACATCTCCATACGCCTAATTCGGCGCTAGGACGGTGTCAGATAATGCCTGGGTATATATTTTTGTAGTCTCCTACATTTAGTAAAACGTAGAAAGTTGTAATACAGGCAATTGCGTAACATATTTAAAAACTCAATATTTGCTCATTACCTGATGACATTTCTCGTAAGCTGATCAATATTATTTATGTTCGCATTATCTCTACGACTTACTGATCAAGCAATTGTTTTAAATCTAGACTGAAATTTGTAACCAGGAAACTGCTTTAATTTATATGCATCTCATAAAACAAATTGTTATTATGTTGTCTCAACTGTTCCTTGTATCCCTCATTATTACTTCTTCTGGTGGATATATGTATATAGCACAATAGAAATAGTTCCAATGTGTCAAATTAAGTACAAACATATGGCAACCAACTTAAAAGCTTTATTGTGACAAAACATACATCAACAAAACTCAAGACACTTCATTTCATTATAGGTTATTTAGCTAATTAAATGTATTTACAATGTGTTGACTAATTTACGAATAAATACTAAAGATAAAATTAAAAACTTCTTGCCTCACATTCCACATCCTGTGTATTAAAATGTTAAAAAAGAAATACACCTCAAACCGTTCCACGATTATTTTTGAAATATAACGGGATCATACAGTAATGTCACAGGATGTAACATATGACTAGACTAATTCAGTAATTGTAAATTTCAGTTACATTGGTACACATGCTCAATGTATAAGAAAAAAATTATGAAAAATCACTGATGGGTACGAAGTGACAATTATACATGGCACACCTATCGAAATGAAGAGAATGATAATACAAAATGTGTTTTACAAGACATTACACTGAGCGCATTAAATATAAAGAAATCAAACATCTAGTACCGTATGCAAACCAACACGATGTGGTATTTTTTTGCCATGTGCTGCCACGTTGCAACCATTACCATGGACTCGTCTTTACTAATATAGATATGTTCATGCTGGCACACATACAAACACTAGAAGCAGTGTGTGAACGAAATCTTGATCAGGACAGCTTTCTCGCGCATGCATGGTAATAGCAGAATTCGTGTGGCCTAAATTTTGCAACAGTGCATTTACCACACATACCACACACACACACACACCACGACCTATGACCTTCATTAGATTACAGTAACCACACACACACACACACAACACCACGACCTATGACCTTCATTAGATTACAGTAAGAATGGTGACTTGTCTGTACCAAACACACAGTGAAGATTGTTCCACGCCTGATTTGAACAAATCTGCACCAATATTATCAACGCGGGCGAACTAAAAAAAGCTAGACTTAATTATCGTAACGGCCCCACATCAGCGAACGCACAGAATGCTTGGAATGCGTAGCTCGGTGAAAATCGAGAGCTGAAGATTGCACCCACTCTTGCCGACTCCCTCTCTCCTATATGAAGGTGAAGCAGCTCCAGACGTCCGTCTTATTTCTTCTTTGGAGCAGGCCTGTATCAGAAGAACTATACCCTGTTTATTGCAAATCATCGCACCTTAGCACGCCTGCATTAAATTCACATTGTGTGCATGGCAACACGACTTTACTTGCACACGAATCACGTACATAACCAGTTGAGCAGTCCAGTCTGTGACAGTGAGTAATACTGAAACGTCGTGATCAATACATTTCGAATCAGCACGAGAAAATTGGCAGCGAGAATTAAATGGATACGGGAGACAGGGCCCACATATTGCCATAACTAGAACAAAGGGCAATATGCTGAGCTTTGTCTACAATAAGTCATGGTTTTAGTAGGGTAATTGTCTCAAGTACTGGATAAATTATTTTGTGAATAATAGATTACTGAATTAGGTAATGTTTCTATAAAATAATCGTGGTCATTGTGAAAAATATAGGGACCGATTATGAAAATTATGATTATTTGGCCTATGCATTCAAACCCTCTACGAATACCCACTTTTTCTTAGTCTGTGGAGCAGTTGACTGGAACACGCTACTTGCTGACATCAGATTCTCGATGTATTGCCCTAGCACTTGGTTCTCAGACTTCAGCTTGAGATTTTCCTCCTTTACCGAGTCGACACGCTGAGACAGATCTGAAACAAATGTCTTAATTACGATAGAGCCTTGTGTCTCCTTAGCTACACACTCCATCTTAGCTACACTACACACTCCATTCCAGTTACATTACAGACTCCATCTCAGTTATACTACACACTCCATCCCAGTTATACTGCACACCAGTCCACTTACACTACAGACTTCATCAGATAAGACTACAGACTATTAGTTACACTACATCCTTTATATCACTTACACTATACACACTCCATACCAGTTACATTACATATTCTGTATCACTTACAATGTTACACTACATACTTTGTATACTATCAGTTACACTGCAGACTTCGTATCAGTTACACTACAGATCTCAGCAAAATGAGAGAGTCTGCAGTCTGAAGTTCAAAACTAAAGATATTAACAATAATGCCAGGGTTCTGCCCAAGGTGGGCGGTGGTGGGCGGGTGTGCACGGCACTCGCGGTTGCCGCCCGGCACTATATATCTCCGCCCGGCACTAATTTTTTATATAAAAAAGAAAGAAAAATAAGAGTCTGATATATGCACTTTTTATTGCTCAGAATGCAGGAAATTGAGTTTCAGACTATCCAAAATCAAAAATTTTCCGGAGGGGGAGGCATGCCCCCCGACCCCCCTATATTGGCTTCGCGCCTACGGCGCTTGCAGTCGCAACTGGATGCGCCCCGCACTAAAAAATCCTGGACAGAACCCTGAATGCATGTGCTTATTTTGAAGATTCATGCGGTTGCACATCTGCCAAATTTTTATTGGACATTTGCTAAAAAATATGATAATCTAGCGTGGGAATAATGAGGCCGAGCTCTGGAACGAACTAGTTAGTATAGCAGAATTTTCAGGGAGTCACACGGATTCCTGCAAATGTCAAATCAAGGGAGTCCGACAGTAAATCAGGGAGTATTCGACTCCGGACTCGCGTTAACTTTGCACCCTGCTCTAGACAGTTACTGTTACTCAAGTAATAACGGTAAGTATCGTAAAAGTGGGGAAAACACGAGACTAGTTGGAAATTATTTTCGAAATCCTGGCTTCTTCCGAATCTGGGATTATTTCCGAAATCTGGTATAACGGTATACTTTCTACAGAACAAACTTCTTTCTTTCTAAAGTGAACATTAGGAAACAATCCTTAACTTAAAAGAAAAATTCTTGGTTTTGAGCAGATTTAGAAAATAATACGCTCACAAAGCAATTCTTAGAGCTAAACCTACGCGTATTCTACACTGTATTAATCCTGCAGCACGTATTGTGAACAGCTGATTGCGTAAGGTACAAGTAGGCATACAAGTACGACTAGAAATGTGTTCACTGCTTAAACAGGATATTCTCATGGTTTCCGACCTGTCTCAATAAAGCAGGAACCACTGTATATAGCTATTTGTGGCTGCATATATCTATTAATATCATTAAAATATCACGAAGTACATTTGCAACCAGTAACTGCATTGAGTACGTGGCGCCATCTGGCGGTAACCTTTTCCATAAAACTAGTATTATACTCACATAAATCCATGATGTGGTTTCTACATATGGCACAGTTGTCAACAACAATGTCTGCAAAATATGAGAAAAAAATAACATTCTTACACATATCCACACAAAACATATATACGCAATTTTAAGTAACAAAACACAAACGAGTACAAATATTCATACAACTAATTATATGTCCAGCATCTGATGATCTGACATGCTCCCAGCAGATATTCGAAAGTACTATATATATGGCAGCTGTGTTTATATGAAATGCAACTAACTCTGTAATTATACAAGTTGTGTTTTGTAATACGCCAGTCAACTTACCCAAGCCCACAATGCAACGGCATATTCACTGTAAATAAATAAATTGCAAATTAGACATCGTCACTAGTACTAGTTTCATTTTCTTGTGGGGCAACATGCTAAGGAGTTCTTTGCCTGTATAGTTGACTGTTGCTAACATATGGAATAGAACGTGCTATACAACAAAAGATTTACTAGGCACCATCCCAAAATAATCAACAAACATTGCAGACTTGATACAACTTTGTCATAGAAACATGAAAGCAACCTCGTTTGACATTGATAACTTCATCACTAACACACACACCACCCTTCCTGAACATACAGCCAGGGAGAATTCCTCAACCTACCCACTGATAGTGATATGCAGTATGGTACAGACAACTCGAAATGATAATCACTGATAAATTTTTTAATACAGTTTAATTTTGCATGTCGTCAATTAAATACCACTTTTTCTTATGAACAATTTGCGCATTCATGAGGTGGGCCGAACGCTATGCGCATGGGAATGCGTACGTCACAGGTCAACAGAAATGGCGCTGAATATATCTGGCCGCCGCTCGTCACTTCGAATTTTGTAACAGGTTATATTAGTTAATACAGAGTATATTGTGATACATAGTAAGTTCCATGATACGCGGAAGAAGATTCGTGTTTAATGAATAAACCCAGTTTGGAAGTTCTAGTCTCTGAAAACGCACCAGCTAAACCGCCTGGTGATTCACTCAGGTTCCTCCACAGAAAACCATAGGGACGCGTTGTCACCTATTCTGGGTTTGGGTACATTATTGTACTTACACTTGGTCCACAAAAAATGACTCAGCAAACCAAATGATCAGGCTTGTTTAACACTTATCTACATGGACATCTCACCTATCATATTTTGGAACACTTTCCACAAACTTTACACCAGTATTTATGCCTTTAATAGCTTTATTCCTTACAAGTCAGCACTACTGGCTGTACCATTTGAACTATTTGTGCGCGTGCTTAACGCGTGACGTCACCGGATATGTAGGCAAAAACATGGCAGCTATGGTGCATGTATATAACGATACCGTGACGGCACGCGTTCGCACGCCACAGATATTTCAAATGGTACAGCCAGTAGTGCTGACTTTGTGAGGATAAAACTATTAAAGCAGTGTTGAAATAAGGCATGCCCGTACGCCCGAGGCCGACAACTTTGGCGCTGGGCGACCAAATAAAAGTTCCACGCCCGACGGCAGGCAACATTCGCCTCCAAAAATAACTTACTTCGCCGCCTATTTGTGCTTTACTTTCCGTCGGTTTAAAAAACTATAATTATACACAGAGTTCTTAGGCTAGAAACTGACTTGCTTCACTAGCCGTGGATCTGTGCTGATCCCGGCTCGTATTGATTTTTGAATAGACTGGCTACTTAGCGCGTTTGCGGTTCACAGTTTTACTACTTTAAGAAGTAACAGAGAACTAGTCTGCGTAGCACAGTGGCTCGCGGAACACAGTAATTCTGACACCACCCTCCGCTGTATAATTGGCATTTAAACACAATAAGACGCGATCCCATGACTTTTGTTTATTGTATAAACGCGACATATTCTGCACAACAGAGACAAGTCTAGAGTCTACTGCTGGATGAGAAAGCGTTTTATTCTTCCGTACATGTATTTATGCGGTTGGGTTGCGTTGAGAATATGTGTATGACATTAATATCCTCGTGAATTAAGTACAAGCTATTGTTCGAATATATTTTGAAACACGTTGCCCTATACGGGCCGTAAATGTACTCGTCCGTCGCGGATGGCTCTAACACATACTAAAAAGAGTGGGAGTTCTTGCTATTTATGCGTCGCGATACATAAATACTTACGCGTCACAAGTAGGTAAAAAATGCATCGCGAATTGCGATGCAATACGCGGGAAAATTATTCCTGCCTGGGATAATCCTCACAATCCCTCCCTTAGTGAACATATGTAAATTATGACTTGCTGCCCTATGTTCCCACTCAAATTTTGAAAAAAGAATTTTGGTTTGCATATATTTTTACTTGTATTTATTGAATTTAGCATGGTAAATGCTTTCAAATCGTGCTTGTAACACACTTTTCAAAATCAGTACATTACTGCTCAGAGCTCGATAGCCCTCAGAATGCATCTCAGAGAATCTATTTTCAAAATTTCCCCTTTCCGAACACTTTTAATCCAATGTTTGAACACCCCTAGCGAAACTTACGCAAAATTCCTTCCGTTTTGCGTAAGTTTCGCCTAGGGTGTTCAAACATTGATTAAAAGTAAAAGAGTGAAGTTATAGACTTAAAAATGCGTATTTGGTGATAGGTAAGTCCGCTAAGACATTATTCTTCAATATTACGTGCTTGGTCGTGGCGAAAATCGGCCGTATGTTAGTCTAGCCCTGCGTGAATATACAAGATAATACAATACATATAGATACATTAGCCAACTGTATATGGAGCATTAGCACTAGTAATATACTTTATTTCACCTTAAAACATGTTATTCAACCATTATGCAAAAAAATGCAGGGCGCAGCCAATTTCTGCGCAGGGCCGGCTAAATTGAAAAAGTTGCCGGCCTGTTGTCCGGCAAGGTTTTCCACGGAATTCCGAACACTGATTAAAGGCATAAATACATGGGTGTAAAGTGTTCAAAAAGATAGGTGAGATGTCCACGTAGTAAATAAGTGTTAAAAAGCCCGATCATTTTGCGTTTTCTGAGCCATTTCGTGAACCAATCGCGGACCAAGTGCAGTTGCGAAATCTAGTTGAAAATGTTCTATAGCCCTGCGGCAGTTAATTAACGCGGGCTATAGTACTATAGAGTTAGACCACAGGCACTTTGAAGACGTATCAACTGTAAACATACGCCGCCGCCATTCGCGCTTACACCGACACATAAATATATAGCAGGTATGAAACGCGTGCGCCAGAATTCGCTCGTACGCTCGCTTGATTAACACGATTTACAACAGAATACTCACCTTCGACGACTCCATCTTTGCTCCGCTAATTGAACGTCAGTGTTCACGTATGCTTAGTAGAAACAATCATGTTCTCACTTCGCACCAGAGCTGTGTCACGCAAAATCACGACATTAAATCATGAAATTCTCGCCGATCTCTTAGCATTGCCCTTGGCCGTGATCGCGCTAACACATTTAAGTACATGGCGGAAGCGGCGCACTGCACTTGGTAACCACAATGTTGCTTTCCAGCCCCTCCCATGCTGAGCCCCGTCAAAGCCGCCAGTGGCCGCGGCGTTGCTATAGATACGCCACTAGCACTGCGACAACGTTCGTTACCTCGGCACGTTTTTTAAGACAGTTTACAGTCGGAGTGTACAGTCCATATGGGCGATAAGTTCTGATAGTGGAGCCATGGCAGCGA